GGAAGTTATGGCAATTTCGGCAACGCTTATCAAGGTCTAGGACAGTTCAAAACAGCCATCCAGTACCATCAACGTCATCTAGAAATTGCTAAAGAACTGGGAGACAAGGCCGGAGAGGGAATCAGTTATGGCAATCTCGGCAACGCTTATCAAGGTCTAGGACAGTTCACAACAGCCATCCAGTACCATCAACGCGATCTAGAAATTACTAAAGAAGTGGGAGACAAGGCCGGAGAGGGAATCAGTTATGGCAACCTCGGCAACGCTTATCAAGGTCTAGGACAGTTCAAAACAGCCATCCAGTACCATCAACGTCATCTAGAAATTGCTAAAGAAGTGGGACACAAGGCCGGAGAGGGAAGAGGTTATGGCAACCTCGGCAACGGTTATCAAGGTCTTGGACAGTTCAAAACAGCCATCCAGTACCATCAACGTCATCTAGAAATTGCTAAAGAAGTGGGAGACAAGGCCGGAGAGGGAATCAGTTATGGCAACCTCGGCAACGATTATCAAGGTCTAGGACAGTTCAAAACAGCCATCCAGTACCATCAACGTCATCTAGAAATTGCTAAAGAAGTGGGAGACAAGGCCGGAGAGGGAAGTAGTTATGGCAATCTCGGCATCGCTTATCAAGGTCTAGGACAGTTCAAAACAGCCATCCAGTACCATCAACGTCATCTAGAAATTGCTGAAGAAGTGGGAGACAAGGCCGGAGAGGGAAACAGTTATGGCAATCTCGGCAACGCTTATCAAGTCTAGGACAGTTTAAAACAGCCATCAAGTACCATCAACGTCATCTAGAAATTGTTAAAGAAGTGGGAGACAAGGCCGGAGAGGGAATCAGTTATAGCAACCTCGGCAACGCTTATCTAGGTCTAGGACAGTTCAAAACAGCCATCCAGTACCATCAGCGTCATCTAGAAATTGCTAAAGAAGTGGGAGACAGGGCCGGAGAGGGAAAAAGTTATTTGAACCTCGGCAATGTTTATCAAAATCTACGACAGTTCAAAACAGCAACTGAGTACCTTCAACGTCATCTAGAAATTGCTAAAGAAGTGGGAGACATGGCTGGAGAGGGAAAAAGTTATTGCCTTCTCGGTACGATTCATCAGGGCCAAAGAGAGTTGAAAACAGCTATTGAGTGTTTTCAACGTCACCTAGAAATATCCAAAGAAGTGGGAGATAAGACTGGAGAGGCGTGCTCACTCTGTTCCCTTGGAAGCAGTTTTGAGCGCCAAGGAAATCTTATGATGGCCTTTGACTGTTATTACTCAAGTGTAGAATTGTATGATGATATCAGGGCCAGTCTTCAACTCAACGATCAGTGGAAGATCTGTTATCGTAATCAGCACCAAGGAGCATACAAAGGTTTGTGGCGTATAAATCTCGATCGAGGTCAAGTTGTGAAGGCTCTTCTTGCCACAGAGAAAGGACGTGCCCAAGCTCTGAGGGATCTCATGGTCACAAAATATCAGCCTGGAGATTCTCTAACGCCCAGCGCATCCCGCACTTCTCTGAGGTGGGTTCCATTGAGCACAGTTTTCATAGCTATTAATGGACCATGCGTTTGCTTCTGGGTTTGCCTCAGTGAAAATAATATCCAGACGAGAGTAGTACACGTAAACAAATATAAGTATGAGAATGAATTGAAATTTTTCATCCAGCTACTGAACAAAACTGTTCTTAAGGAGATCAGTAAAAGAGATACTGTTACCATCGAAAACCCTTCGCTTGACTCGCCTCGGACAGACGAGGAAGTGGCCAATGATGTGATCCCAGTTGATGTGAGGCACTCCAAATCAAGTGCTTTAAAGAAGCTGCATGACATCATCGTTACTCCTATTGCTGACCTCATCGAAGGCAACGACGAGATCACAATCATTCCTGAAGGGCCATTTTGCCTTGTACCTTATGCAGCGTTGCAGGACTCCAACTCATCTTATCTGAGTGATTCTTTCAGAATTCGTGTGCTTCCCTCTCTGACTACCTTGCAACTAATTCATGATTGTCCAGCTGACTTTCACATGAAGACTGGTGCATTGCTTGTCGGCGACCCATGTTTCAAACACATCATCTATGAGGGAATACTTTTGATGCAACTTCCAGGAGCAAGAAAAGAAGTGGAGATGATCGGACGTATCTTCAATGTCTCCCCTCTCACTGGAGAAATGGCAACAAAAGATGAAGTGTTAAAACGAATATCATCAGTGGCCTTAGTTCACATAGCAGCGCACGGTAAAATGGAAACTGGAGAAGTTATCCTAGCACCAAACACCACAAGAGATAACCCTCAGCCGCTAGAGAAAGACTATCTACTGACGATGAAAGATGTCATAGAAGCTGGGTTGCGAGCACGTCTGGTTGTACTTAGCTGCTGTCACACTGCTCGTGGGGAGGTCATGGCTGAGGGTGTGGTCGGCATGGCGCGTGCACTTTTGGCTGCCGGTGCCAGATCTGTTGTGGTAACCTTGTGGGCGATTGGCGACGAGGGAACCCTGGAGTTCATGAGTTTCTTTTACGATGCACTTTCCAAAGGCAAGAAGGCAAGTGAAGCTCTCAATCAGGCCATGAAGTGTATGAGGGAAATTGAAAAGTTCAAAGAGGTGATTTACTGGGCACCATTTGTACTCATGGGTGACGACGTCAGCCTGGATTTCAATGAGATTTAGAGGCTGCAGTAAGTAATAATTCTGTTGATAAATTCTATTCAATACAAAGTTTCATTAAATCATAACCTTTGCTCATATGTAAGCAGTGATACGTGCGTGTTATTTTCCTTTCAGTTGGGTTACGAATTTATTTTTGTCTTCGCACACTGAGATGCAGGACAATCAAGTGGACACGTTTACGATAATGACATTCTTTTTTGGAAACACGATAGGAGTAAAATAGCAAATTTCTTTTAAAATAATCCTGTTGTGCAATGTATCGTTTCATGTGCTAAGAAATATTTCATGGCAACTCAACTATCCTCCCTAAACTTAGATTCTTTTATTTTTCAATTAAGGCAGTGATCATTGGAATCCCGGGGAGTTTTCGGATACCTACAAATGCTAATATTTGGACCAGAAACCAGTAAGCTACCGATGAAAGCTTTGTCAAGAGTCTTCTTTTGAAAGCAGGAAGGAGCAAAAGACGGCCAAAGTCAAGTTTAACAAGAGAACAGATTTCCATTGATTCGGAAAGTTGCCTTTTTGCTTGTTTGAACTGCTTTTACGAGCTTAATCTTTGATATCCTTCTCAAACTACTGTTTGTTTGTTTGTTTGTTTTTTTCATATGATGTCTTAAAATTATCATGACTAGCTATTCTTAATCTAAGTATTTTCTACTGAGAGGATTTGGGCGTTACATTTACGTCGAAGTTGAAACGTCTTGAAAACGTTTTCCAGAGTTTTTTTTTAACAGAGTTTAGTCTCATGAGTGATATAAAGCTATTACATGCGTGTGTAGAGAATTTCCATAGGAACTGGAGAATAATTAGTTGTCCGTTTGCTCCATTATCTTAGTCTATGTCAGATGGAAATTGTGATGAACTTTTCGAGGATTTATACTCAGTCATTGGTACTTAAATTTAGTTTCTTCCGATCAGAATTCGGTTTATCTGGACTTAAAATGACAGATTTTGGTCGTAATGGCAAGGATTTAGTCTTGATATTAGTTAATTTTCTGAGATTTCTCCTTTAATTTTGAATGCGATAAATTGTGTTATTTTTTACAAGCAGAACGATGCATTTTAAGTTAATTGTTTAAACTAATCGTCCAAAGGCAAAACGAGAAGTTTAATTTTATAATTTTAGTTATGGCTTACAAAGAATTGATGGAGGCTCAGAGCGAGCTGGAAAAATTGGAGCCAAATGATTTATTTAGTTTCTCCGATTAGATTGTTTACTTATTATCTAAGTACAATAAACTAACATTTGAATGTCAAACAATGAAACAAGTCGCTTGGTATTTTGTTAGAATGGAAGAGGAAATCAATAACAAAGGGAAGAAAATTCCTGCATCAACCTGCATAAGTCATTTCTTGTCGTTTGAAGTAGTGGGTGCGCCTATGTCTTATTCGCTTAGTAACTTTTGCCCATTTCTTTGAATAGGTTTATTGAATGAGAGATAAACTTTGATATTTTCTGACTCTATAACTGCTGCTATCGATCATTGGCAACCGTTTCTCAGGATGTCACGCGACGCACTTCTTTAGCACGTTATGTGACAGATATGATGTTTTGTCACATCTTTTCGTTTGGAGTAGCGAGCGCACCTATGTCCTATTCGCTCAACTTTTGCCCATTTTCTTGGATAGAGTTATTAAACGAGATATAAACTTCGATATTTTCAGATTTTATATCTGTCAGTTTCATTGGCAGCCGTTCCTTAGAATGTCACGCGACGCGTTTTTTTTATCATGTAAAGCGACATGACGTTTAGTCATATATATTGTTGAAGAGGCAAGAAAAAGGAAATTACCTTTCACTTTGGGAGATGGTGCTTTCTTCTGTTTATAGAAAGCGTCCTCATCATGGGAGGTACCCTAGGTCGGTGTGGTTCCCCGTGTGTAGAAAATATTTATGATTTTTTTTCCACGATTGCAAACTTAACTAAAACAGTCTGTTAAAAAAAACTGAAACTTTCTTAAAACTGAGGGCTGACCGATATAAACTTTTTACGGCTAGCGGTTAAAATTGTGGCCATTTTTCTGCTGCAGCTAACACTAAATAACACATTGTAGGAGGGAAAGATTTTCAAAGTTAATTTTTTCTTCAACTAAGGGTTCAAATTTGTTAATTTTTACGCCTAACAGCTATTTTTTTGACCGGTTTACGGCTAACGGTTAACCCCATGCAGACCCTCGACGGGTGACATGCAAGATGTGAAATAAAAACTGTTTTAGAAGGTCGTGGTTTTAAAGCCGTAGAAAAATCCCGAAAGTAAGGATCAACCTGGGAGAGACGGGCCTGGGGAGAGTGTTGTCGCTAGGCATTCCTGTTACGTTCAATCTGAGATGCTTAATGAAGTTAACGCGAGATATTCACCGAAGTGAGGGCGAGCAAGGATAAATTTCCTTCCCCCTTTAAAGACCTTGTACCGGATCCAAAAAGTCAGTAAGCCCTTACATTTTGACTTTCCCTAGTTCTAAAGAACTGCGACAACGTAATTGTTTCATCAGAACATCTCTACTGACGATAGCATATATTACAATCATTTTTAAAAAAGAGCCATGGGAAGGGGGGAAGGGTGGGTTGAGGTTCCGTGTTTCCCCCTTTCCCCCTGGTTGGGAGTGTGGACGGCTACGTGGTTAGATACAACGCAGGTGTTTACACAAACACATTTCTGGCCCACACTGTGCAAGATTAAGTTGGTTTCTATTTCATGTAGAGACAAAAAATTGAAGCTTCTCCTTTTCATCAAGGTTCCGACTCCCTTCTCCCCTTTTGGTGTTGTACAATCACAGAAAACAAAAGGCAACATCTTACGGACTTTGGATAATGGGTGAAAATATGGGCACTAGAGCTAAAATTGGTTTGCTACTCAAGAAAACCTTGATCTCAGAGACAAGGTTTAAACTATTTTGATGCAGATTAAAGCTAGCTGAGCTGAATATTTTACTCCCACTTGCATTCCTATGTGCAACCCTGGAGGTGAAAAGTTAAACGGAGAATTGTTTTTTAGATTCAGTGACCGAAGAGTCACTGTATGGTGTGACAACAACAATTCATGAAGTGCAAGCTGTATTGTTGAGTATGATTCACAAAGACACTATACTAGTAGGACACAGCTTGGAAAGTGACCTCAAAGCAACAAAGGTAAGTTTCCAGGGTACAATATAAACAGAAATAAAAACAGTGAAGGGCAGCATTGTTCATCCAAGTTAACCTAGGGTTTCAATAGGATTTCAAGAAGGCTCTTGGGAACTTTGTATGGAGCTCTGATAAATGCTACAGAAAGTCAGAATGTGATGTGCCGTTGCTGGCTATATCAGGTATCAGTTAGGTTGTCTTTCCTTTTAGGCAATTGCAAATTGCAGAGACAAAGTCTTATTTAAACCCACTCTTCTTTTAATTCTTGGATCAGACTAGTATGTAAAAATTTTAAACCCTCTTTTCCACAAGAATCTTGCTTAACCTCCCTGTCATTCCCTGCAAGCAAAGAGGACAATTTGTGCATGGCTCAATGATTTGCATATTAGATGCAGAAAGAGGAAGTCTACATTTCAGCACTGGGTTGGGTCATCAGGATGAATCCTAAGGGACAAGAAACATTCTATGGCTTGCTGAGTTGTAATAGTTATGAGACTAGACATTTCCAATATTTACAGAAAGGATTAGCATCATTCCAGCTTCTTTAGTGATAATTGGTCATTGCATAAGGTTTCTCTCTCCTCAGATAATTCACAATAAAGTAATTGATACCTCTGTGGTATTTCCCCGCCGACTGGGACCTCCTTACAAGAGAGCTCTTCATAATCTCATGGCTGAACACTTCAAAAAGATTATTCAGGATAGTGGTAAGTTTCGATAATGGTGATGTAAAAATGGTTACTTTTTTTTTTTTTTTTTTTTTAGGAAACCATGCTCAATGTGCATTTTAGTTCGTTGTACTACAAATTTTATTATGACATTCATTTGGATCCCTGAAATTTCTGTAGTTGTATAATAGTTCATTTTACAGTTTCATGCTTGGTTGATTTGGAACAGGAGGAAGGCTAAGGGTGACCTTGTTATGATACAAACGTTGCTGCTTTTCAATTGTGAATTACTCTGCTATTAAGCTAACTAGATATTGATCTCTATCATAACAAGGTCACCTTCAGCCTCATACCTAATCAAAGGCTTAGCAACTAAGTACACAACTGTAAAATGGCCTACTGGTGATTTGTCTCAGTCCTTAAGTGAAGCAGTTTGTGTAAAAAGTTGTCAAGAATTTGTCTTTCAAACGGGATGTTCACTTGTTTTCATATTAAAAAAACAACTGGTACTTTGACAGGATTTAGAACCCTATTATGGCTTCTTTACTTAGTGATGTCAATATTTGGATTCTTGGATCAAAATCAGTGTCTGAGCAACTGCGTACCTATCCCTCCCCTCACCCAAACTTAACCCCAACTGTTATCAGTTGACTGTTGTTGGGTCAGGGGAGGGGTAGGTGTGAAGTTGCTTAGAAACTGATTTTAACCCATTCTCCCAGACAGTTTCCACAGAAAGTGTGTTACATTAGATTTCTCTTTGCCTTACACTTTTAGAAGTTTGATTGATATTTAAAAAAATTATTCCCTAATATTCTACTACAGTTGATGGCCATGAAGATGCATCTGCTTGTTTGGAGCTCATGAGGTGGAAGGTGAAAGAAGACATGAAAAAGACATCAAGGCAAAAGTCTCTGCATCAAGCATTTGCAGTTTCATAGCAACACTTCAACATTTCACACAGCAATAGGCAGGTAGCAGGTACTTTTTTCTAAAAGATTATTCATAGTTTTCTTAGTGAGTCTCTTAGGTTAGGAAGTTTTGTTAGTCTGTTCTGTTAACAGAGTAGCTGACAGTGAAATTGCAAACTGGAGTTCTTAGATTTAGAATTCTGACAGTCACCCCTTTGGGTGCGTTGCTTGGGTTTTGCCATAGGTAGTTAGTATGTAAGAGTTGAAACTTATTTATTTGGTATTGTCATCTTTCAGGTTTAGGTGAAACTTCACATGGAGCTGTCTGTGAAGTCTATATGGAAGAGGGGGGAGGGAGGCAGTTAATGAGAAAGATTTCACTTTGATATGTTTATTCATTCAGTATCTTACATGTGACCTCAGCAAGTGTCACACTTGTCATTTCTGAACCACTGAGAATATATCCAACAGTTAAATCATGAAATAAGGAGAAAATGAATCATAGGTATAAAGTAAAACAGATATGAAAGAAGATTTAGTGTTGGTACAATATTTTATTTAGTTTAAATATCAGATTCCAAATTCCCAGGTGGCTTTAAAAACCTAAAGGAGAAAATACACCAAATAATAATCATGTTGTTTTGCAGTTATTTATTACAATAAAATATTTTTTTTAGACAAAAAGTTCAAGAACTTCCTGAAAGAGAGACTCACTGGCAACTTCTCCATATCAATCCAAAATGAATAAAATAATTATTACTATTTCAGATTTACAAACACAGGTGTTAGTATATGCAGATAATTTGGTTTCATCAAGTGAGTTGATGATTTAAATTGGCCTTAATAACAAGTTTTTAAAGCTGACATTTCAAGTGTTAGCTCTTAACAAAAAATAATACTCTATCTTACAAAGCCTATCCTGTTTCTCAATCGTTCAGTGGCTCATTGCTGCTAACAAACACTTGATAAATATTATTAATTGTTTTATAAGCAACAAAGACCCAGTGAATTTCCCCTCCAACATGATCCCAGCTTGTGCACGTTCTATGCTTAAATCATTTGACAACAATATAAGACAATTTCTTAATGGTTGGTTTACCAAAAGGGTGTGTTCATCACCTTCAGAACATAATTACCTTTGCTATTTTCAAATTTCATCATGGGTTGTATTTTGTTTCCCTACAAAAGAGAATCTGGCACCTGCAGAGAAAGTTTTTACATTATGCATTCAGTAATAACAAACTTAGATTTTTAGTAAAGTTGAATATAATTTGTGCACAGTTGGAGAGCATTGATTAAATAAAACAGTCTGTGACTGCATGTACCTACAGCTACCGTATATAGTTGTAGTGTATAATTTGCAGCAAAACTGCAAAGTGGTGTAAAAATGAACAGCTCATGTTGATGCCGAAATTGTGAAAAAAAGGAACAGAGTTGTACACTGGTTAATTGACAGGCCAGGGACAGGGCAAGAAATTTTAAAATGCAAATAGAACAGGTACATGAATTGAAAGAGCATCAAAGGTAATTTTATACAAAACATTGCTACTCCTGGTGCTCTATGTACCTAACACAATGGTTATACCTACTCCTTTTGTTTTATCTTTCTTTTTCCTTTCATTTTCCATTCTTCCCCAAAAGATATGTTAGGGATGTTCAGAGTCAAACACACATGTGATAATGTTTGACGATGTAAGCTTTTACATTCACATGGAGAACAAGAGATGTTACAAGTGTCTCGCAATAGTGGGCTATTTTGATAACGTGACGGGTCTAGGGAAAGGTTCATGGATTTATGCGCTCAAACACATGGCTCATCCAACACATCTTGCAATTGTTGCACAACTTTTGTGCGTGAAACAATAGTCAAAACTTTGAATTATCACATATTAGAGAAATTAGTGACAAAGGTACATTACAGCAGTATAATAATTGCCCATGAAAGTGAGTTTTAGTTACCCTCAAATAATATTGCATAGGACTGGTTGTTCCTACTATTAGGTAAGCCTTCAAAGATTTGATTCACAATTCTCGTTTTCAGGCTTCCATATATTTCCTTGTGAATCATTTAAGAGAATTTGGTGTTAGATCCAGATAATGCCTTCTGACCAATAAGCTTGTCTATTCTTATCAGCTGTTTGTTGCATTTTGTATCGATGTTGTTAGGAGAAGGTACAAGTCAATCACTTCTTAGAATGGGCTTGGAATTGCTTAGTTCTATGCTCAGGGCTATAAAATTGGTACTCCATGGATTTCTTTTTGGTTGTTGCTAGGTTTAAAGTGGTGGTTGCACACTGAAGATAGTCAGCTAGTTTGTGCAGATAGCTTGTTGGGATTTTAATTGAGTTGTGTTTACAATTTGGAATGTTTATACTACTCTTTGTTTACATTGGCACTGAAAAGCTCCAGTGGGGTAGAGGTCAAATAATTCTTTCCATTCATAACAACATGAACAATATTCAGGTCTTCTTGGGCAGGTAAACACTGTATTCAGCTCCAATCTTTAATTAATTTTACATTTATCTCATTATTTCGTACAAGTCCATTCAATTTACCGCTTGTTTGAGGGCCTGGTCCAAGTCATCAATCAAATCCTGAGTATCTTCAAGTCCCACCGATAAACGAATCTAGAGAATTATAACAGATTCTATCATGAATATTGTAAGAGCAACTTCATACTTTATGTCTATAAAGATATTGTTGTTCATTCAGGGATGACATAATTTTAGGGATGAAATAAGTTGTTACTCACTCATAGGGGTCACAGAGTTAACTCATCTCAGCGAAGCCAGCCAATTTAAATCAAAATGGAGCTTGTGAGGAATACTTATTTCTTTTATCCCTACTTTGCTGAAGGAAAAGAAGTAATTAGTCATACTTATGTAACGCTTTGCTACTCCATCCATCTCAGGAAATATTAAGATTCTTGAAAACGACTAGAAGCCAGTTTATCTTCTTATAATATTTTACAACTAGAGAGGACTTCTATGGTAATTCACAAATAGTTATCATCTGGACAAGAACTCTCCTTTTCCTTGCCTTTGTCTCATGTGAATCTCTTCTCATCAAGAGCTCAGTTGGTACAAGCCAAGAGGATAAGAGACTGCCCGCACTCTCGAACTCTTAATGAAACAAAACTTGTTATTAAATGTTTCCTTTGGGATGAGACTTGTCATTGGCAAGTGAAAATCTCTTCTCACCAAGAGCTTGGTCCAAGCAAAGGGAGAAAGAGACTGCCAGCAGTCTCAGACTCTTGATAAAACAAAACTTATTAATGTGTTCTTTGGGACCAGAATTGTGTATGTTAAGTGAAATCTCTTCTCACCAAGAGCTTAATGCAAAGCAAGAGTAAACAAGTCTGCCAGCAGTATCAAACTATTGATAAAATGAAACATGTTATCAATGTTTTCCTTGGGACCAGACTTGTTGTTTCAAGTCCAATTCTCTTGTTGCCCAAAGCTTGGTCCAAAACAAAATAAAAAGAGACTGCCAGCAGTCTCAGATTCTTAAACAAAATAACTATTGCTGTCCATGCCGACCATGAGTGATATCATACTCACCAGTGTATCTGATATTCCTAATACTTCCCTTTGATCTGCAGGAACTGATGTATGGGTCATTATTGCCCTGAAAATAAACCAACAAAAGATCCATGATTTTAATGAACTTTTCTTTCCATTCCCAAGTCAATATCTTTTCAGCCAATCATTCTAACAGTCTTTGCTAATTGTTTTAAGTACATGCAGAACTTATGGTACCCTTGCAAACTGAATTCCCAGTTTTCTGGGAATTCCTAGGAATTCCTGGGAATTCCTCGAAATTCCTAGGAATTCTCAAAACTTCCCAACTATGCAAATTAACTCTGATCTAAAAAGCTTGGAATTACTGGGAATTTCTGGGAAAGGAAGACTCCAGTTTTGTGAGGACTTGGAATTCCAAGAAATTCCTAGGAATTCTCTGCTATACAATTTACCTAAAATTTAAGAAGGGTGGAATTCTTGGGAATTTCTGGGAATTGAATTTGAGGCAATTTTAATACCCTGAGGTCCACATAAATTCTTAGAAATTCTCAATACCTTGAATGTGAAGGTTTTAAGAAAAGGGGTAATTTCAGAGGCTTAAAACTTTGGC